CTCAGCAGAAAATACCGATGAGGAACAACAGACATGCAGCTGAGGTGGGTGCTCTTCCTGGTGAACATGTCAGCATTGCTGCATAACCCTCTTTGTTCCTCAGAGGTGTGAGAGCTCTGCAGTGAGCTTCCCTCAGCCCAAGGTTGCAGGCAAAGCGAATAAGCCAGGAGGGAATTTGATCTGGGGGAACTCAGTTAATTCAAATGAATACAGATGATGAGTATGTACCTAATGATAGCATAATTTGAAAAACCATTATTTGATAAATAGATGTGCAAATAAAAAGACCATGGTATCAGACTTTTCTTACCAATATTTGAAACTGACCTTTTGAAAGTTAAAGATTTTGGAGGCTCTGCATTTCCGGTGGCTGCATCATTACAGTATCTGAATTTACATGCAGCTCATGTAACTCTAAAGTGCGACTGAATTGAATGCACTGTTAGTGACTTATATGCAAGGTGATTAAAGCTTATTGATGAACTGTTTAATTTGATGACACAAGTCAATGGCTGTGTCAGCTTTTTAACTGTTTATCTTATAGCTGGGATGGCACATCCCTTTTTGGGTTCTTTAAAGGTAATTAGATGGGCTAGCCTTAGGAAACTTAGTTAAGGCTGTGCAAGAAATGACTTTGAAGCAAAGAGTGGGATTTAGGATTCTGTATGGATGTTAAATGCCTTGATTAGTATAGTGCTGCAGTAAAACCAGTGTCTAATGTTTAACTTTGGCAACTGTTTTCAAGGTGTTTAAGCATTTTTCTGGTCACTTTAAAGATGTTCTGATTTTCTTTTCTGATAACGCCTTCATTATGAAGATAGCTAATATATTGCCCCCCTGTGAAACAGTTAATCTACAGAACTCCAAACATTTTAAAGGTATTAATTAGCAAATCTTTATAACGTTCCTCCAGTGTACCTAATTACCATGTACCATGTTTTAAAGTGTGGAGGTAAAGCTGTGGAAGTGGTTGGTTCAAAGTCAAGTGGTAAGTCAGTACCAGTCTAGGTTGGAGTCTCTGAGTGTTTGTTCCCTACTTGAAGGCTATCAGTCCCATATCATCCACCAGCACTTTATTCTCAAAATCTCACACTAGGATTTAGCCAAGGGATAGAGGTAAATATACAGCCAATTTCCTCTCTTGATTTTGCAAATAATGCTCCCACAAGGTTGACTTGATCTGAAGGAGAGAGAAATACAAAATTGAAGTGATGTGTATAAAACCCCACCATTCTCTCAACACTGGAGTGTTCAAGGGCTGGTTAGTGCTCTCAGTATCAAATTCACTTGATTAGGTGAAATAAGTTAAAAAAGAAGCCTCACAGAGGAAGTTGGAACATCTTTATTGCTTAGAAGGAAAACTTTATGACAGTGGAAGGTGAAAGCTTTCAATCATAGAAGTTAAGTGCCAGCAGAGACTGGTTTGCATGTAACAGATGGGTGTGGCAAATATGAATCATATTGGTTGATAGAGACTTACCTCATCCCACTTGTGGTCTCTGCAGCCCGTGGTAGAAGTCATGCAACCAATAGGGCTTGTTGGTAAGTGATATGTAATCTGCTTTCAGTGGCTTTCCTATACCCTTTGGTATGTTCATCAGTTACTTAGTTGGCTGAATAGGCAAAGGAAGGCTCAGATGATACTTTATTTTCTTGTCCGGTAAGAAACCAATACAGAGCATTTTTTAATAAAAAAAGACACGGTGTCTAATGGGATTCCATTGCAAATAAGCTGCAAACTGGGTCACTTTTTTTCTGATTCCTGTGACAACTGCTGTTCAGCTTAAGGAGAAAATACAGATATTATGTCTTGATTTTTTAACCAGACAGATGCAATTTCCCCTGTGCAGTGCTCAAATACAATGGATTTGAAATCTGATCTAGGCACACAGTGAAAAAGTAGTTTGATCTGCCTGCTTTTACCAAGCTTTACTCTTCTCGTCTCTGTGAGCTGCCCTCATGTTCCTGGCACATATGATTTAGGTTATTCTGCTTCCATAATCCTTTGCTTCCTCATAGAGATTTTACCAGGTAAATGAGAATTCTTTTTTTTTTTTTTTTTTTTTTTTTGAGGGCTCTTCTCCCTCCTCCTTCCTCCACCTCCCCCCACCTCAAGTTTTCTTGCGTCCTTGTAGCCATGTTGGCAAGCTGTCAAGGACTTGGAGGTCCCTTCAGACATCTCTCTTCTGCTCCAGCCTCCCCCACCTCCCTGGATGGAAGCCTAGTGATTTCTACAGCCTGTATTTGAACAACTTGATGTATAATTTTTTAACTCTCTGCATCACTTATCCTACCGAAATTTTTATTCCTGTGATGAGCATCTTAAAAGTTAGTGAAGGTCTCTTTTTGTCACTGCTGTTGTCATAAGAAGATAATAAAACTGAGAGGATATTTCTCTTATGCTGTGAAATTTGCTGTGTATGTTTCAACAGAATGTTCCTGGAAATTAGCTCGTTTACTGCTCTCTGCACATGTGAATCACTGTTTGCCCTGATTCACAGAGTAAAACTTTCTATTCTGCCCCAACTGCCATGCTTGGTTCACAAAGCAGTGAGCTCCAAATATGGTGCCCAAATCCACTTCCTTCGGTATTTTGTTTATCACTTTTAACTGTTTGTTCCTTTCCTTTTTGTTTTATATGAATGAGAATTCTGCTTTCCCCATATAAATCATAATTTTAAATATTTATATTGAATCCCTTATCTGTTATGCCACACTGCAAAGCATTGTTTGTATTAAAATCCATCTTCTTACAAGAGTTTTTTTTCCCTGGCAATTCTTGACCATTTTTTTTACTCTATTTAGCCATACAGAATTCTTTCTATTGTTTGTTGGTGATGGTTACTTTACATATTATTCCACACAAAACTGCCACTGATTTAAACAAAAGTATTCTTAAGCCCATTATATTATTCACCATTCTCTTCCTCATTTGTCTGAACATTTTGCTCCAGTTTTGACCACAGCTGCACATTAAGCAGAATCTGCCTTTGAGCATGTCATACACCTCCCCTTCTAATTTTGTTTGCAGCAAGTGTTAAGTGAATCAGCTGAGTATTTTCCACTTCAAATATTATTAGTGGAAATTTAATATAAAAGGTGCATATACTTACCTTTGTCTTACTGTGTATCTTCAAATGATATATTGGAAAGAAGTCTTTACAGACATCATCTTAGGTATGGGTTGGAAAAGTGGAAAATGGCTCTGTTGGTAAAGATGTGGGGGGTAGAAAGTAATATAAAAAAGGTTTATTAGTATATTCTAAAGAATATATATATGCATTAGCATTTCCTAACACTGATGCAAGGTACCATATGTATGCAATGCAATACTAGTCACTGAAGTGTGATGCATTGAGTTACACAGTCAATAACTAAAAAGTAAATTAAAAGTGGAAAAGTTGTTTGCTTGGTGGGGTTCTTTTCCCCCCTAAAAAAAAAAAAAAAGAAAAAAAGCATGCAGCCATACATAATGGAAACTTTCCTTAGATTTTTCTGTCTGTGGGTGATATCTGCCTTGGCAGTGGTTCTGGCAGTACTTTCTTGCCTACAGTGGCATAAGCTTTAAGGTGCTTGGACTGTTAGTGCATTTTACTGGCATGTCCTCCTCTCACGAAAAGATTCATTTTCATAGCAAAATATCTTTTTCTGGGTGTGCTGAGCATGTTGCTCAGTGTGAACAAGGCTTTCAAGTTAGTCCCTGTAGACTGACATAAGTCATCCATTCTTTATGTTCTTATGCTTCTGCCAAGACTACTAGAAAACCCTATAATAACAACTGGCGTTTGTGGCATCAGCAAGGCCCAAATTAAATTTCTTCTGGGTGACTTCCTACAGGTGGCACTGTAATTTCAGTGTCATGAATAGTAAAGCGACTCTGGATGTCTCCTTTACCTGCTTTGGACCCTGGAACTTCCCTGCCACAGCAGAGAGAGATCTGAGGAAACACGGGAGAATCCCTAGGCAGCAGCATCACTCCACCCTGCTTTGAAGAAATCTGTCTGTAATATTCCAGTCAGTCAAAAAGAAAAAATTCACTTCAAAGCATGCAATGATCTACATTATTTTTAGCAATGCCTATCACTTTGAAAAAGGATGAGATTTAGCAGGGTGCATTCTCTGTCTTTTCTAGACCAATGGAGTATGTGAAATAAGAGCTGTGTAGAGAGCAGTGAAAATTATTTAGATGTTTGTCCTGTAGTTAGAAGTTTGTTCGTTCTTGAAGTCTGCATACTTGTGGCTGAAACTGTTGAATACACAAGTCAGAAAAGTACCCAAAACCACAAAGTTCTCTTTTTGTATTTTTCCTTTGTTCCCCAAGCCTAGTAAAAATGTAACTTACAGAAGCATCTCATATTTTTAACAGGGCTATTAATTTTGGGTTGCCATTGCATCAGGCAGTCAAAAAATGAAAATGGGAAATAAAGGTTGTTGATTTGAAACTGTTAGATCCATGTGCTCTTCTGCAGACCTTGCTGTCAGCCCCATCCCTGCTCGGATGGTGTTTCCCAAGACACACCTTGCAGGTGACTCAGGACAACCAAACTGGTAGTGCTTCATGCCCATCCTTCCGTTTGTCCTGAGGGCTCCCTGGCCTTGGCATGGCTGGGCTTGGGTTGCCCCAAGCTCCCCCATACCTGGGGGTGCAGGATTGGACCCTGTATGGCCCAGAGAGACTGAAGCTGAAGGGGTCTCTGGGAAAAAGGATAGCAACGGAGGCTTCACTGAGGCTTGGAGAGTGTGATTTGTTAAGGAACAGCTATAATATACTTTCTCCTGTTTCCCACAATATATTCTCAGCCTTTTCTTGAAAGTATTCAATGGTAGAGTTTTAAAACCAAGTTCCATTTGTGAAACAAAGAAGAACAAAAATAACCCCCAAAATAACACCCCACCCCCCTCCAAAAAAAAAAAAAAAGGAAATAAAAAAATTAAAATTACCTGCCTGGGAATATTTCTAATTTTGTAGTCTTTTTAGTCCCATCCCCTCCTCCATTTCCATCTAGCTTAGTTCTAGTGCTCATAGTTCTGGCAGGCATGTCTTTTAGCACTTGCTTAGTTGCCTGGTTTGTGGTTTGCGTAGGTATGACTTGTACAAGAGACACCAGTTTCCTCTTGGGCAATTTCATCATTTCAACCAATTTCTGTAAGTTTCCTCTCCACTTTGAGAAGTGTGGGAGCTGACAGGACAAATGTGGCTGTTTGTCAGAATTCCTTGCTGGTAAGGTTGTGGAATATTTCTTTCCTCTTAAGTGACAAATGTTGCTTGTTTCTGTTCAGTGTTTTTTTGTTGTTGTTGTTTTTTGTTTTTTTTTTTTTTTAAACAATGTGGTTTCAGCTCATGAGAAGCAGTGCTTACTTGGTACAATAAAGGAAGTTCACACTGGCAAGTAATTGCGCTCTCTTAAGGGTTGTGCAAATGATCTTATGCTTTCCTTCCTCTCCCCCCTCCTCCTGCCTTGTGGTTAAAAAAATGCAAATAGATTAATTAAAAATAATGAGATAATTAGAAATAATGGAGTTTGTGGAGTGTGGACAAGTGATAGCGTGTATGTGAATGATTTCTATTTTGGAAAAGTTTAATTCAGTTACGTTTTAAGATCCATCAAAAGTCAGGGTGACAGTCTACTCATGACTGTTTCATGTAAATAAGATATTTGTGAAGATGAGTGTATAATATAGAAATAGAAGCAATTCCTTTATTGATTTTAGGTTCCCAGAGAAAAATGTGCAAATTTAGTGTTGTGTAAAGAGTATTTAAGGAGCAATATGGGGGTAGACTGCAGTGTGCTGTGGTGACAGCACTGAGCAAGCTGATTTCTATTTTTAATGTGAAAATAATTTTAGAACACATTAACTTTCATGTTTTTCTCATGGAAATGAAATTGGATGAGTAAAGACCCTGCAAAAAGAACTATGTGAATGGGCTTACCCATCCTGTGAACAAAAGGACAGCTGCAATTAAAATCTCCTGTCCTTTGCATTGAAACAGAAAACCTAAACCCCTGGCTGCATCTCTGGACTTGAGTTTTCCCAACAAAATATGCTCTCTGGTGAGAGCTGAAATTAACAGCTTGTTTAATCATTCACTTATCTACTTGTTTCCAACAAGTTATTTTTGGTGTGTAGGGTAATATCTTTCTTTCCTGGGCTCAATTGTATTAATTTGATTTCTTGCAAGGTTTATTATCCCTGCTCAGGAACTGCAGTTCAGCAGGAGTTTCTGTCAGTTATGCCAACATTCAATGGTTTGTGATAATTCATAAAGGAGAAATTGTTTGGTAACTTCTCTTGAAATGGCCTTTCTGCTAATGTTCACATGATCTTTCTGTGCAAGCTACTTGCTACTTGTTCCCACACATACTGGGAGTCCTGATTCCCTGTAGGGATGCCCAGTGGTCAGCATTTGCATCTCACTTGTTTGAGTGTGTTTCCCTGAGCGGGTGCAGCAGCTAGGTTCTGCTTGTTCAGCATGGCACACTCTCTATTAGTGTCTGCGCAAGGTGGCTGGAGAAGGCATCAAGACAACGTGGGCTGAAGAGCTTCCACAGCTGTTAAGATGCTCTCTGTTTTGTCCTTGTTAATTCCAGATGTTTCCCATTGCTGCCCAGATCCATCCCTTCCACACTCCTGCAAGATCTAGCTAAACTAATAGGGACTTGGTTGTGGGTGAATAGGATGTGGGCTGGTTTAGATAAAGAGATAACTGCACAATACTGTTGTCCTACTGTTATTTGATTAAATAATACTGATATGCATTCTGCTGCTAATCAGCTTGTCTTGTGGAGGTCCTAGCAGCTTCTCAGCTGGTGCTGGATTCTGGAGTAGCAGCAGTAACCCAGAGAAATGGTTGTGTTGCTAAGTGGCATGTTGGGTAGTTTTAGTGTCTCTAGGTGGAACTGTCCAAGTGATCACTCAACCACCTGCTAAATGCACCTAGTACTACTTATGGGGCAATGAGCTAGTACTGTTTATGGGCCTGGAGAAAGTGTCCTGCCCGATGCATCACTTACTGCTAAGGAAATTATGCTGATTGTGGTTATGTGGTAATGTTGCATGGGAAACTATACCTATTACCCCTTTCTGCATCTCAATTGCCCTCTCAGCTGAAGCAGAGCCACATTTCTGTCTCTTAAGGATTTCTTCTGAACAGCAATACATGCAGTTAAAGGTGTAGCTCATCAAAATGTCTATGTGGGTGCCCTGTGTTTATGCCTTAGTGACATACATTTCTAAAAATATTTCCCTTCTGCAAGCCTTTTCTACCCTCTAATTGTTCACTTCTCTTTCCTATCATCAAGTTACAGGCTGGCTGTCCTCCAGTGTCTGCTTCTTTTGCTGCGGGGCATCTCTGGCGTAAGTCCTGTGAATAGACTGAATTTTTCTGCTGGGATGAGTGTGTCTTTCCTCCTTTAGTCCTGTCCCCTGCCTCTGGCTTAGCTGAGTCACACTTTCTCTGTGCATACATTTTCAGTTGTCCCCATGTTCTTGTCTACTCTCCAAACAGGTCTTGCAGATTGTTTTCAAGGGAGGTAGATGAATAACATGGCCTTGCCTTACCTACCCTTACCTACTACTTCTTTAACTGCTTGCTCTCTTGCAGGTTTGGCTTCCTCATCTGGGTAGAGCTCATCTTCCTTTGACTTCCTTACCTTGCTTTTCCCCAGAAACTCCCCTAGTCTTTCTCCCTTTTTGTCAGCTGGTGTGTTTTTATTTTGTCTATTAAATACAATCAACCAACAGAAATCTCTGTTCTCTGCCATCATTTTCTGCTAGCAGTTACCTTTGATTTTTGTCTGAAAATCTCTTCTTAAAGCCTTGCTACCTGTGATTGTGTCTGTCAATGGTTTTCTACCTGTTTCCTGAGGCACACAAATTGCCTTTCAGAGGGTCTTGGTATATCCCAAAATACTGTCTATAGTCTACTAAAAGATCTATCCTCTGATCCATTTTATCTCTGCACCCTATGCCCAAGTAATTCACATTACATGACCTCTCTTCCATGTGGGCAGATTTACTATAACACCAAATGCAGTGTTTGAGCTGTTTCTCTGATATCTCATGGCTCAGCCTTCAGTTGAATCCAGCACAAAAGATTTCTGGCTTTCTTAAATCATCCTTGCTTATTACTCACAATGACATTATGGTCCAAGTGCTTTCTTCAATTCTCTATGTCCTCATTTGCAAGCTGTGTTTAAATTTTGCACACATTTTCAAATGTCTTCACTCCCCATACACAGAAATAAACTGTCATCCAAGTTGTCATTATCTCATCTTGCATTTACTGAAATGTCCTATTCTATGGCCTTGACAAAAGTAATTTCACCACTTCATATCAATTCAGAAACTCACTGCAGGGATAATTTTCTGACTCTCCTCTGTTGAATCTCTTAGCCTATTTACACTGCGGAGCATCATCAAACATACTGAACCTTACCTTTCATTTTGAAGTCCCTGGGATCTTTCTTTCCCTGGGTTCCCTCTCTTAGCTGTACAGACATTTGAAAGCGTTATATTTCATCATTTTTCAAAGCCACTTGCTATGACACTAAGGCAAACCTTGAAAATGTCTGTCCTCATGTGTGTTGAGACCCAGCATATGATCCTGATGAGTGTTGTCTCATTGTTATCTTGGACTCCACCTGATTCCTGTCTACATCCTCTTTTTTGTATCCTTTTTTAAACTGGAAGCTGCCAGGAGCACTTACTTACAGTAAGAACATGGATGAAAAGAGAAGGTACCTGAAGGATGGTCCTTTAAATAGAAATAAACACACTGCAGTCCCTATTGCTAGTAGTTCAGAAAAGTTCCTTCAATATTTTGGGTGATACTGCTATACATAATTTTATGTAATTGCCTGCTTTGTTATATTGTGTAGCTGCTTTGGTATCCCTCTTCCTTCTTGCAAGGTCTCAGGAGATGCATGCTGTTATTCTTTGGTGAATCCAAGTCTGCAAGGTTCTTCCAGGAGCAGCTTCTGGGTACAAGCACTATCAAAATACCATACCAGCTTTAACTGTGTTTATTTTCTTTTAATCTAAAGCAAATGTGAGTGCTAGGCAATTCAGTTTAGCTTAAACCTCTTTTGTAGTTAATATGTCTCAGCTGACACATAATAATTTGTGTTTGAGCTTTCTTTAGCTCCCTAATACAGCATGTAAATTGTATGGATCTAACAAAGTGCAATGTGAACAGAGATGGTGTCAGATTTTCTTGCAAAGCAACCGTGTGAAGGTGTTTGCATCTCCACATGAAGTAGGAAGCAGCACTTCCAAAATTTGTTGTTGAATATCTATTCAGTTCAGAGCAAAACAGGAATTTGGAGGGTAGGGCATGGGGGTGGATGGGGAAAAAGAAGTAATAATAATTATTATGTACTGGCAATTTGGTGCACTGAAGTGGGTCTTTTCAGGTGTCATTTTTGCCTTTTGTTTCTATCTGGAGTCTTGTGTGTTGCACCCAACCACACTACTGGCGTTAATGCACTTTTTCTCCTGCTGAGATGAAGATTGAAGCTGTACTCTGAAGTGCCACATAGCACTTGCATAGATCTCCAGCAGTGTTTTGTCTTCTGGATGCATTTCCAGAAAAGGTGCACTGTGGAGATATAATCCTAGGAAGACAATGAATTACAGCAACTTAATCCTGGTTTTAGGTTTCTGCAACCACAGAAGGGACATCTTGGTTTCGTATTGGTTAATTGCTGAGTCTGTAGGGTTTTCTCTAGTTTCCCCCACTCTGGTTCTGATGAGATAGATAGACTTTCAGGTAATGGTTGTGTTCTAGCCTGTTTGTTTCCTTATGGAAACCTTTGGACAGTGTTAGAGACAGCAACTCAGCTGCTTAACTATTTTGCTTCTATTTTTGGGCCATAATATTGCCTCATACTATAGCACATGAATAATATATTTGGGTCTTATATAGCTGCCTGCAGATGTGTAAGGGTGCTCAGTAAGAGTTTGTACGTTTTCTCCATTGCTGCTTCCCCTTCTTTCTCTTTTAATGAAGTGACACAGTAGGAACATACTGGTTGCACATGCAACACATTATGAAATGTGCTGAAAATTTGACTGACATCCAGTTTGAACAGCTGTACAACCTTCTGACCCAACTTACAAAGCCTTGGGGAGTTTCAGCCTTGACTATCTCAAATTCAACATTTCAGCATTTCTTTATCCTAATATTTGCAGTCAGCTCACATTCTTCTCATAAGAACTGGG